CCACTTATTTATTGTAAACCCCTACGTGTGCTGTTCTCCCATGTTCAGCTGCTAGGGTGATACCTGGCAACTTGACTCACACGCCGGCAGAGCCCTGTATGCCCACTGCAGCACACATGCCATAAATTCAGCACCACTGACCCACACTAATGAAGCCTCCACTCTCGCCTACCTAACCCTAGCAAAAACCAAAGCCAGTCATGTATTTTTTTTTTTAGAAAAGACAATCGACTTTTTCCCAAAAGACATCTTTAGTGTAGAAGGCAGACAGCAACCCCAAACCACAGATTGCAGCTGGTACAGCACTCAGTTCAACGGCTATTTCTAGGGAAAGTAACATCCCGTGGCATGGAAGTGCCAATTTTAATCATCTCTTCATCCACTTGATTTTCACCATTTCCTTAAGCATCTTGGAGATGACTGTCATTTAAATGATTTCCAGTTCTTGATTATGAAATTCTTATAAACTTTTATGGCTATGCATTTTGGCGTAAGGAAGCACTGAATTGTGCTAGATAGGCCCCAAAGTCAGGCCTCTGTATATAAGTACCCTTTATTGTTTAAACTGATCACCCTAGATTTAGCACTCTTTAGTAAATCCCAACCACTTCAATCTGAGTTCTCTTTAGGGTTTTCTCTTTATGATTTTCTTCCTTAGTGCATGTTAGCAGTTCATTATTGGGAGTTGGAACATGTATATACACATCTTCATTTTGTTATGTCTGTCTCCTCTCCTTCCACACCATCTCCCCTCCCTTCATCTCTTGGTTCCCTTTCTTGCTGCAAAACATCTGTCTCCTTACTACTTTTTATTCTGCTTTTTTTCTGAGATAGCGTCTCACTACAAAGTTCATGCTAGACTTTAAACTCACTCTGTCACCTCAGTTGGCCTTAAACTCATGGCCATGCTCCTGCCTCAGCCTCCCAGGTGCTGGGATTATAGGCATGCCCCACTACACTAGGCTTGCTCTTTATACTTTGGGTTTCTTATAGAAGAGAAAGTATGCGATAATTAAGTTTGTGTGACTGATTTATTTCACTTAAAATTATGGTCTCAAGGTGCATCTATTTTTGAAAAATGATTCAAGTGTAGCCTTATGACACTGTACTACATTGTATTTGTCACATTTTCTTGACCCACCTGTTTGTTGATAGACAGGAGGGTGCTTCCAGTGTTAAGCTACTTAGCATGAAGTGTACTGCTATAAACATGGGTATGCATGAAACACTGTAATATGCAGCCTTTATCGCTTTCAAGAAGACACCTAGAAGAGGAATAGCTGGGTTAAACAGACTTTCTAGTTTCAGATTCTGAGGAATCTTCATACCGATTTCTACAGTGGACTTCCTCGTTTACATTCCCACCAACAGTGTAGAAGCGTTCTTTCACTTCCGTGGCCTGGCCAACATTTGTTATTTAATTTCTTCACAATAGCCACTTTTTTCTGGAGTAAAATGGAATCTATTTTAATTTGCATTTCTTTAACAGCCAGAGACGGTGGATATGTCTTCATGTATTCACTGGCCTTCTGTACCTCTGAAAAGTATCTCATTTCAGTTGCCCATGTTTTGAGTGAGTCTCCAACTTCTGAGGGGTCTACTTTTTTGTGTTCTTTACATAGCCTAGGTATTAGTCTCAGTAGATTTTCTCCGTTTTGTTGTTTCCTTTGCTATGTAGAATAATCTGATAAAATCCCATTGGTTCTTAATGTTTCTTGTGTAATTGAGTTTCTCTTCAGAAAGTCCTGGTCTATTGCAAAAGGTTTACATATTTTATCTTAAAGCAGATTGTTTAATATTTATATCTTTGCTGTTTTGCTTTTAGTTTAGTACCTGGTGTTAAGAGGCAGTTTTCCCGACACCTTTTGCTAAAAAGGGTATGTTTCCTCCAGAATGCTTTCGGCTCCTTTATCACAGATCAGATGGCTGAATGTGCAACAGGGTTGTTTTTGCATCCTGTATTCTATTCCATTAATCCACGTCTGTTTCTGTGTAAGAATCTCTCCTATGGGAACAACCCTACCACCACTGTGAAGCAACTCCAGTTGCAGTTTTAGTTACACAACACTCATGATTTTAGATACAAATCTTCTCAATGAAACCGAGGGATTTACTACAGGGATACAAAGCTAAATTAACACTCCTAACTCAGCCAAAGCAAATCACATCAACAGGTTATAGGGGAACAGGCTAAACAATTGTAAATTCTTTTTTTTTTTTTTTTTTTTTTGGTTTTGTTTTGTTTTTTTCTGGTACCTGTCTCACTGTAATTCAGGGTGGTCTTGAACTATGTAGCCCCGGCTAGCCTCAGACTCACAGCGATCCTCCTGCCTCAGCCTCTCAAGTGCTGGGATTATAGGCATGCACCACCACACCCAGCATAACACTCATTTTTAACAAAAGCTCTCAACAACTGGGGAAGAGTTCTAAACTAGATAAAGAACATCCACATTAAGTCATACAGCTATGACATGTAATACTCAACAATGAATGTTTTCCACAAACATTCATAACATGGTGAGTATATCTTCTATCATTTTATTCAATAGTGTGAAAGATCCTATAGTACAATGACAAAAGAAAAGGGATACATACCAGAAACTCGTTTGTTGACTGCCAATTTTATGAAGAAAATCCTCAAGAATGTATAAAAATGACTGACAAAACTAGTAACGACTGAGCTCTGGAAAGTCATATTCAAGGTCCAACATTTAAAAAATAATTGTATTTCCCTCTAATACCAATGATCATATGAGAGAAATTAAAAATTTAGAATGAACCCAGATACAACGGTATTTACCATCCAAGCTACTCAGGAGGCTAAAGCAAGAGATTCACTTGAGCCCAGGAGCTAGAGGCCAACATGAGCAACACAGAGGCCCCATGTCTTAAAATGAAAAAAGAAACAAACAAACCCGCAATGTCACATAATATGGTCTCACAGAAGGTGTCAACAAAACTGGTGGGACTCACCTGTAATCCCAGCTACTCTGCATATGGAAGCAGAAGGATCACAAGTTCTACACCAGTCTCTCAGCGAGACCCTGTCTCAATATTTAAAAATTCAGAAAATGGCTTGGGTGCAGTTCAGTGGTACAGCATCTTACCTAGTATGGCTAAGCTCAGGACTGAATCCCAGTACCACACCCACCCCCGACAAAAGAAAAAAATGAAATAAAATGTGTCCAGGATTTATTACCTGAAAATTACAGAACACTTTTGAAATAAATTAAAGAGCACTTAAAGAAAAAACCACATTCATAGACTGGAAGGCTCAATATACAAAACATATCATCACCAAAATAATCTGAAGTGTTAAGGCAATTTCTACAAAAATAACAGCAAGATGCTTTCTAAATACAGAAATTTAAAGTCAGATCAATAAAACTGAAATGGAAATCTAAAACAGTTTACCAGAACAAGAAAGTCAGTTTATATATTTAAAAATTTAGTAGATAGCTATAATAAAAAAGATACCTGTAGTTCCAGCACTCAGGAGGGTAAAGCAAGAGGCTTGCCCTGAGTTTGAGGCCAGCTTGGGTTCAAGGCCAGTCGGAACTATATAGCGAGACCTTGTCTCAAAAAACAACAACAAAGAAAGAGAGAGGGGCAAGAGAAAGATAGGATGGCACTGACATAGGTTTGGGTCTCTGCCAATAAAATAATCTACAAAACCAGATAATTAACAAAGAACATAGAGGGGCTGGGGATTTAGCTCAGCGGCACAGCGCCTGCCTGGCAAGCGCAAGGTTGTGAGTTTGATTCCCGGTACTGGAAACAAAACAAAACAAAAAGAACATAGAAAGAGACCAGTGTGAATATGCCCAGTTGATTTATGACTAAGGCATAAAATAATTCAATAACTATGATAGTCTTCAGAATAAATGGTGCTGGAACAAAGGAATACAGATATTCCTCATTTAACAACCTATTTATCAGCTGGGCGTGATGGCGCACACCTGTAATCCCAGCACTCAGGAGGCTGACGTAGGAGGATCGCTGTGAGTCTGAGACCGGCCTGGGCTACAAAGTGGGCTCAAGGCCAGCCTGAACTGCATAGCGAGACTCTGTCTCAAAAAGACAAAAAGAAAAAAAAAAAAAACAACCATGACCTATTTATCGAATGTTCAGACTTACAATAGGGGCAGGCTGTCCAGACTTACAACCCATCCTTCTTTGGGTGAGTGAGGGGTACAGTTCTTGTTTATAGAGCCCCAGTGTCTTTTTTTGCACAGTATTCCATGTTTACAGAGTACTGTAACTCTTGCTGACCATACTGTACAGTACTGTATTTTATGTTGTTATACATTATAGTACTACATGTAAGAGTTATGCAAATAAAAGCAAAGTCATCAACCTGGAGTTTCCTTTGACCATTTCTTTGTGTTGAATATTACACATTATACATACTGCATACAATTCTTCACTTAGTGACCAGTTAATTTAACGACCTAGTTGCAGGAACGGAAGTCTGCCATTAAATGAACAATGTCTGTATTCCTCATCAACAAAAAAATTAATTCAAGCCTTCTGTAATACAAAAATTACCTTAACATGGATCAGAGTTTCAAGTGGAAAAGGTAAAGTATACAACTTTTAGAAGGAGCCACAAAAAGTAAAGTATACAACTTTTGGAAGGAGCCATGTAATGTGGCACACACCTGTAATTCCAGCACTCTGGGAGGCTGAGCCTGGGAGGATCACAGTTTGAGCCTAGCCTGGAATCTTATTGACTCAGTTAGACCCTGTCTCAAAAAAGGGGGGTGGTTGGATGGGGTGGGATGTAGTTGAGTGCACAGACTCTGGGTTTCATCCCCTAGGACCACAAAACAAACAAACAAAAATCCTTTGGATAACATTTTAGCATGTACTAGAAATATGTGGCTGAGGCCTTTCCTAAGAAAGGTCTTTCCTAAGCCACTGAATTCTCATGGGTGAATACTCAGATGTAGAAGACTGTAGACAGGGTCATTTTCAAACAAGACTCTTTAGACAACAAATGATTGTTATCCACATTTTTTTCACAGAGATGGCACTAACCCAGATTCTCTACAGTATGAATGACCAGAGGCTCTGATAGATGATTCCCTTGAACGATGACGTTCCTCAGTGGTTACGTGAAGAAAGTCTTTCCTAATATGAATCCTTCAACATTGACAGAGGCTTGCACACCTGTGAAAGATTTTCCCGCATCTCTGATACTGGTTGAGTTTTTCCCTGTGTGCATCCTTTGATGGTACCTTAGGGAGGAGCTGAGGCTGAAGGCCTTTCCACAGTCACTGCATTTATAGGGCTTATCTCCAGTGTGGATGTTGGAGTGCTGAATGAGGTTTGTGCTCCGTGAGAAGGTTTTCCCACATTCCATGCACTTGTAGGGCTTCTCTTCATTGTGAATCCGATGGTGCCTTATCAGGTGTGACCTGCGGTTGAAGGCCTTCCCACACTCCATGCACTCATAGGGCTTCTCTCCTGTGTGGATGCTAACATGGCGGATGAGGTCTTTCCGATTGGTGAAGGCTTTCCCACATTCTTTGCATTCAAAGGGTTTTTCTCCGGTGTGGGCCCTTCTGTGCAAGGTCAGAGTAGAATAGTGGGCGAAGGCTTTTCCACACTCACTGCACACATAAGGTTTCTCCCCAGTGTGTATGCGCTGGTGCTGCTTGAGGTGTGGTTCACGTAGGAATGCCTTCCCACACTCCATACACTTATAGGGCTTCTCCCCAGTATGGATGACATAGTGGTGAATGAGTCCTGCGATCTCACAAAATCCTCTCCCACATTCATTGCACTGGAAGGGTTTCACTCCCCTGTGAGTCTGTTGGTGCCATGTTAGGTAAGACCGCTGGTTGAAGGCCTTGCCACACTCTGAGCACTGATAGGGCTTTTCTCCCGTGTGGAAGATGTTGTGACGATTGAAAGCTCGTCTATCCCGAAAGGCTTTGCCACACTCTTTGCACACAAAAGGTTTCTCTCCAGTGTGCATTCTGTTATGCAAAACAAATGTGGAGCGGTGGGCAAAAGCTTGTCCACACTCACTGCACTTATACGGCTTCTCCCCACTGTGCGTGCGCTGGTGCTGCGTAAGATATGACTTCCGGCTGAAGGCCTTGCCACACTCCAAGCACATATAGGGCCTCTCCCTGGTGTGGACAATGTGGTGCTGCAGGAGATGAGTGCTCTTGCGGAAGGACTTCCCACATTCTGTACATTCATAGCGTTTCACTCCTGTGTGAATTAACTTATGTTGAATGAGTAAGCGTTCCTTCTTAAACACTTTCCCACATTCCTTGCATTTGAAGGCATTTTTCCCCTCTTGTACCAAGTGATCTGCAGCTGACCCACGGGAGTCACAGACAGGGGGAGCTGAGTGTGGAGACACACTCCCAAGCACAGTCTTTGAACACACACTATCAGCTGACCCCGTGCCATCACGTCCAGGCCCCCCAGCCCCAGGAAGCTTCTCCCTCAGGGCCTCCAGCCCTGGTCTCAGGAGTCCTTCCTGTACTTCACAGGGCCCATCCTGACCGGGGTGCAGCTCCACCAGGGAGTCCAGAGAGGCTCCTTCTGTCTGATGGTCGTGGAGCAAGGCTCCCTCAGGCCAGGTCTGGTAAGCAGGACTGGGCTTGGTGGTGTTAGGTTTTGTGCTGTTACCTGGAGGAAATACAATACACAAAAGGAACTGTGAGTCACAGCAACATCAGAGAAAACAAATCAGCATTTCAGTAAGAATAGGAAGATGAAAACCAAGACTCTGCTCCTGGAATGATTTGAAATCCAGGAAACCCACTTTTGCAATGTCTTTCTTTTTGTTCCTAGGACTCTTGAAACTTTTTCTGGATTTCACGCAATTTCACCATTCTTTATTAACTGAGAAAAATCTCATTTGATAGTTTATTACACTGAGTCAGAAGTGCATCAGTGATAAAGGAAGCAATACAGTGGCACCTCAATTCACAACTTTAATTTGTATGACAATTCTGGTTGTGAACTGAATCAAGTTTCCTGATAAAGTTCTATATAAATAAGTTAATGTGTTCTGACCCCTATGAACTTGGGAGCAAAGAGAATCAAATTTTTCCATCAGGTTCAATGTAAATAACATTAACTCATTCTGAACATATGCATTTTTTTAAATCACAAATATATGAAACCAAGTACAGGGGCTGGGGATTTAGCTCAGCAGCACAGCGCCTGCCTGACAAGCGCAAGGTTGTGAATTCAATTCCTGGTCCTGGAAAAAAACTAAAAAAAAAAAAAAAGAAACCAAGTACAATACAGTATAAAGAGAGAACTCTAACCTTACCTGAGGTAACTTCTAGTGTGGAGCACAGAGAGTGTGTGGGGAAGAGGTTACTGTTTGGAGGGAGAGTGCCCCTCCATAAGGACATTGGGGAGATCTCTTTCAGGGGTTTCCTCTCTTCTTGCTCCTTTAGCTGCAAGTCAATTTTGATCCCCCCCCACCAAAAAAAATCTGTCCGGTATCACTTGCTTTTTCCTATGCTGCATAGGAAATGAGACCACATTATCCTTCATCAGACTCCACACTCTGTTCATTACAATTATGCTGGGGTGGTGTCTCTCAAAGAAACCCTGGCACTCATTCCATTCTTCCTTAGTGGATTTTATCACATCACTGCTAACTTCCTGTCTTTCTTTTCCTCACGGAATGTTCCTCAAGCACCTTCTGCTGTCCACTCTACAGTTCAGCAAGTTCTATTCAACAAGCTCCTCCATGTCTGCACCATCAAGGTCCAGACTCAAACTCCTGCCTGTGGACACAATTTCCTCCACTACCTGTGCATCCGCCCGCTTGAAGTCATGTTCAGTGACACATTCTTGCCAGTTTCCTCCAGGCCGTTAAAGGCTGGTATGTGACCTCTTCCCAGGCTTTGTCAATGAGGTTGATGTAGTGGAGAACACTGAAATGTTTCTTTCAGAACTCTTTCAGAGATAAGGATGTCTCTTTAGTTACATTAAAACATCTGGTGAAGAGCACCTTTGTGGACAACTTGAGTTGCAGACAATTTGCTGGTCCATGGGCTGCAGATAGGTGTCATGTTGCGGGGCAGGGGAGGACTCGACCTTTATGAAGTCATACTCAGCATCCATATCATCCACCAAGGCCGGAGGGTGTGCCAGGGCATTGTCCATCTGAAGAAGGCACCTTTTAGGCAGTTGGCTGTCAGAAAGGCATCTCCCAATGGCGAGTCTGAACACCTCGTACAGCCATTCCATGAACAACTGCCTTGTGACCCAAGGTTTCGCATTGGCCCTCCGCATCGCAGGCAGTCTGGCCTTGTTCACATCCTGTTCCCTGAGTGCTGAGGGGTCTGAGAATGGTACACTAGTAGTAGCTTAATCTTCAGATTGGCATTTGTATTTGCACACAGCAGAAGGGTCAATCTGTCTTTTGTGGGCCTGTGCCCCTGCACTGCCTTTTCCTCCTGCATGATACAGGCTCTGTTCAGCATCTTCTTCCAGAAGAGCCCTGTTTCATTGCAGGTGTACACTTGTTGAGCGACACATCCTTCTGCCTCCATGAACTGTAGTTCTTTCTGGTAGGCATCCACAGCAGCCTTGTCAGAACTGGAAGCCTCACCATGTGGCATCACACTGTGGATGCCACTTCTCTTGTGAAATTTATCAAGTCACCCTCTACTGGCTTTAAACTCATCACCTGTTGCACCTGTACAGTTTTCTTGCAGTAAATCACTGCAACTTCCTGGCTTTTCACAGATCACAGCTTCACTAACCCTGTCACCGGCCAGCTGTTTCTATTCAGCCACACTAACAGAAGTCTTCCACCTCTTCCAGCACTGTGTCCTCTGCTGGGTTAGCATCATTACTCTTTTGCCACATCAGCTCCTTTGATGGCATCTTTATTCTTCAAAACAGTTAAGATTGTTGACTTCACCATGTTGTCCTCTCAGGCCAGATCAGTCACAAACATACCACACATGCTTTTCTCCAATTTTTTCTTCAATTCAGTGGTTATTTTCTTCAAAAACTTCTCGCTATTCTTGCTCTGCACTTTGTTACTTTCATTTTGCTGCGCGCATTCTTGTTATCTTTATTATTGTTCTTTGCATTGTGGTCACCTTCACTACTGCTCTGCACTTTCTTTTTACCACCATATTCGCTCAGCACATTCTTTGGAGCCATACTGCAATGAATACTACTGTACAGTACTGTGTGTGCTAAAAAGCAAAAAACTTCACAGCAAGTGTGCACAGGTCTGCTGTCTCAGCTAGTGGAAGCCACGACCACATGTCAGAGTGGGGAAGAAGGCTGCATTTGTGTTCATGAGGGGAATATGGCTGTGGTCATGTTTGTCACCTAATGCAGAGTTTGAGAACAGAAGCAAAATTCTGCCCAACACTTCTGTTCATGAACTGAACTGTTCTCACATAGAAGCATTCATGACCTGAGGCATTGCTCTGCTGGATCAACCAAAGTCCTCATTTCTACATATGCAAAATTCGTTTACAAAGAAATAATATCCGAAACAACTCAGCAATGGATTCTTGAGACTTCTGAAGGAAAACGCGGAGTGTCTGGGGCAGATTACAGAGTAAATGAAGTTGAGACCCCCACTCAGTCAAGACTAGGGAGGAGAGGATAAGTAGTAACACAGCCAAAGGGAGAACCAAAGGCAAAAGACACTGGCCATAAAGTGTGCCAACCAATACACATGATGGCCCCAGTGCCCTCAGCAGCCCAGGTCGAGACAGGAAATATTAAGTTCTCTGGGGCTCTACAAAACAGGAGGAGCATGAAGACACACAGTTAGGGATCTTCTGAGGCTGACTGATCCTTGGGGATGTGTGGGGGAGGCAAGAAGGAATGGAATGTAGAGCACACTGTTAAGGACTTTGTTTGCTCACAGTTCAGAAGGAAAGGTTAAATGCACCATTATTCATTAGGACAAATAACAGAAATAATGCCAAGAGCTTCCTTTCACCGAACGACCCACTATGGTCAGGTACAGTACACAATGGTGTCACACTATCACAACCTCTATCACACAACAATGTATTACTGTCGTGAATTTTTAGGAACACACTGAGTATAGTGGACACCAGCTTGGGCACAGTCCCCAGCCTTTATACACAAGTGTGTCTGAATGTGTTGTCACTGAGTGTGATGAAGGGGACTGATTTCTTCATCTCCCCTCTGCCAGCTGGAGGTGGCCAGGGAAGTATCAGCCCCTATTCTGTGGACAGAGCGCATGGGTCCATGAATCCCTGCGTGGCACTGAGCTCCATGTTGACAGAGCAACCATAGGTTACAGGCATCATGGATTCCACTGCCCCAAGGATTCCTCTGCCCCTGTAGAGGCAAGGATCACCTAACAATCAAGCTGCCATCACCCCTACCATCCACTCTACCATTACCCTCACCTTACTGGTCGCTGGCACCCACCTGGACAGACACTTTGGGAGAGGTCATTTGTCGTTTTCCTTAACGCCTGTCTTTGTTCCAACTGGTAAATCAGCTCTGACTTGGACACAGGACAGCCTGTGGATGGAGAAGCAGACACAGGGATTGGTGAGATGAAGAATCTTTACAATATGGCCTAGATCTCCAGGATGGGGAAGAGACATTGACACAGAGCTTCAGTGAACTACAACCTAGAAGTAAACTACAAAATGCCATGTTTAGAATTGATATACTGGAGGGAGTACAACAGGCTGCACAGACAAACCCAGCTCCCTTTGATTTCCACCCTACCGAATCTTAACACTGTCCAGACATATTTCCGTGGTGTATTTTTTTCTTGGTCTTTTTTTTTTGTGTGTGTGATATTCATGATTGAACCCACGGCCTTCACCCTGAGCTATATCTTCAGCACTATTTTTGCATTTTTTATTTTGAGACAGGGTCTCCCTATGTTGCTACATTATACAAGCTGGTCCACAACTAGCAATCCTCCTGCCTCTGTACCCCACATTGCCGGGTTTATTGGCATATGCTATGGCTGGTATTTTGTAATTAATTTTGTAATTAATGGAGCCTTCACCTGCCTGTAAACTGGCAAGGCTTAGGGATGTTTACCTGCCATTTAGAACAACTGAAACAAAATCTATGAGGATGAGGACAGGCAATGGATTTTAATCATTGGGCCTGGGTGATTGTAGCCCCTGGCACATGGAAAAGTATTTCCTTCATCTCCCAGGGTGCATCCCTGATGATCGGTAATCAGGTGGACAAGTGACAACACAGACCACTCAAATTAAAGAATGAGTCTAAATTCTGGGAGGGGCTGCATGAGATGTCTTCTCCCCACTGTTGTCCTACAATATGTTGGGATTTCTACGAGGGTACCTGTTAAAGACTTAGACCAACCACAGAAAGGTAACACACACACACACACACACACACACCCAATAAAGCACTCCCCACTAACCCAGAAGCCTTATTAGATAAGACATAATCTTTTGTACAGAGGAAAGACTGAACTGTAACCAAGCCCTCATGAACAGATTTGCCAGGGTTAAAAATACAGGCATCTAGAGGCACCTGAGCTGCAAAGCCTTAGCGTGGCTAGGGGCAGTCATTTAGGACGATGACCAGGAAAGGTATATTCTTGGGTCTGGATCCTACCTTCTCTCTGCTTCCTGGCCAACATGACATGAGCAGCTGTCCTTGTCCAGACCCTTCTACCTGCTCTTTCTGTGTTTGGATCCACCAACCATGGACTGAAACTTCTAAAACTGCAATCCAAAATGTACCTCGGCTCTCTTAAGCTGTGTCAGGCACTTTGCGCCAGCAATGAGGGTAAGTGGCACCGACAGGCACATGTGAATATTTGTATAAACATCAAATATCATCAACATTTTACAAAACGAAGGACTTTTACCACTAGCTACTATAAAAACAAGATCCCATAATGAGATTCTCTTGATACTGAATATGTTAAGCTTTATGAAGGACTTATTACAATGGTCTTATTTTCCACACTTGCTAAGGATGAGCATGCCAGAAAATTTAATACAGTATGAATAGACAAACAATGAGTATATGTAGAAAAATGAAGATAGGGAATCTAGGGCCTAAGAACTATATAAACACTTACTTTTACAAAATGACAAAGGCAAGAGGCCACTACGGAAACACTGACAAAGAAACCGTCAAAGAGAAGTCAGGACAAGAGACCCCGAGCCACAGGTCTAATATGTTCCCTCCAGGGCAATTCATCAGGTCCTTAAGAAATCCAGCGAGCAGGTCACCTCTGGGTTCTGCTCAATATCCTATGGCCTTCCAGCACATCCCTTTCTTTTGACTGTGATCAAACAGACTGTTTTTCTCCCAACTCTTGCTAATTGAGACAAAGAATCAAAAACCAAACAGGTGGATTTAAAGAAGTGACACACCTATGTAGAGCAAGGAGGGCAGTGCTAAAAGTCTCAATGACTAGTCAGGCCTGGAGTCAGAGGGCAGAGAGAAAGAGTGGCCAGTGGCCACGTGGGTGAGAGGGGAGCCTTACCCACAGCAATCAGAAGCCCACAGGTCTCTAGCATCACTTCCCAGTATAAGGTCCTCTTGGAAAGGTCCAGCTGCCCCCACTCCTCCTGAGTGAATCTCACAGCCACATCTTCGAAGGTGACAGCCACCTGGGAAGTCAAACACAAGAAGAATCTCCCTTGGGACTGGTGGATAGGATGACCCTATGTCACTTGAGCACAGCAAAAGACAGGTCCCCAAGGGCCAAATCACCAAGCAGCCCTAGAGGGCTGAGCTCCAGTGTAAGGAGGGTGCTGCCTGGTCAGATTACAGAAGTGTGCTTGACAGAAATTTCATAGACAGGAAGACAATGCAGACTGAGACAAGTTTAGGACAATCCCAAGTGGATAATAAGGCACACACTGCAAGTGTTGAGATAGTAAGGAATAGAAAAGAGTAACAGCAAAAGTAATATAGCAGTGAAAGGAACGGCACCTCAATCTTACTGGTCCTCACTGTGCACCTGGCTCCTAATGAGGATTTTCTGTGCCATGGCTAAGGGATTAAAAGGCAACAGCTCAGGAGTCAAATTCCTAGGATTAAAAACAAACTCCAGAAATCAACACCTACTTACTGTGTGACCAGTGGACCCTTCTTTGTCTGAACCTCTAATCTCAGATCAACAAGACAAGCCAAATAAAATTTTGATTTCACCACAAGCACTCATAAAAAGTAAAGAAAAAGTCCTTGTAAAAGCAACATAAGGAGGTTGTGGTGGCACTGGCCTGTAATCCCAGCACTTAGGAGGCTAAGGGAGGATGACTGCCATGAGTTTGAGGCCAGCCTGGGCTACACAGTGAACTCAGGTCCAGCCTGAACTACACAGTGAAACCCTGTCTCAAAAAGGGAAGGGGAACGGGGACAGAAAGAGGGAGGGAGGGAAGGAAGAAAGAAAGGCAGGAAGGAAGGAAGGAAGGAAGGGAGGGAAGAAGGGAGGGAGGGAAGAAAAAGATAGATGGCTGATAGGCCACAGCCCCACAGGTGAACACTATCATGATCTCCATTTCAAACAAACAGACTAGAGGCCCAGGAAGATTTACCAGTTCACCCAAACTTATAAAAGAGACAGTATTTGAATCCAGGCTCCACTGGTGGGCAATCTGCTTACGCAGAGATGACATTCTTCTACAAGCAGAATTACACATAGTTAATGAAATTGTAACACATTACAAATAAGTTTCACTACTGTATCCATATCAGGTACTTCTGAAAATATTTCTGTGGACTTGGGTGGGGAGGGCATCATCATCCATCTTAAGAGACATCTGAAGTAGTGGTATCTGTCCGCTAAGTGGCAGGGCCTGGACCAGCTCTTGCAACCTTCTGCATTCCTTCTGGACCTCACAGTTACTTGTGGAAAATTCAAAACGAGCCACGACTGTTTTCCCTTCCTGACCTTTGCTAGGAGTTATACTTGAGGCTAAGATACTTCAAGGAGGAGGAACAGGAGTCCAAGGCAGCACAGCAGGCTATGGCTATGAGAAACTAGGGTCTGGACTGGCCATGATGTTCCGGGTAAGTTGGATATAATATCCATCAAAAGATCACACCTAGGTACAGGGATGCAATCCTGGAATCCTAGCTACTTAGGAAGCTGAGGCCGGAGGACGACAAGTTGAAGGAAAGTGAGTAACTTAAGAAAAGGAGCTGGGGATGTCCAATTGTGCAACTTAATAAAAGGAGCATTTGCCTAGCACTCTTACGGCCCTAGATTCAATCTCCATTGTGGCAAGAATGAAATCACAATCTCACCCACCCAGCACAGGATCACCAGGCGCGAGAAAACCCATGGGTACCCCGAGGACTTCTTTTAAACCAGTGTGCCTCTCCTGAGTGCACAGGGATCTGCCTGCCTGAGCCGCCGCATGCCCACCTGACCAGCACTCAGTAACTCTGGAATGAGGCACGCTGGTCGTGCAGCTCACTTCACGTGACTTCGCCAGGCTTCCCAACGCACAGGCCACAACACGCCGCGACGATGGGCTCAGCGGTCAGCTTCGGACCAAGGCAGAGAGCGAGGCCGTGCCAAGGCCCAGCGGCAGCGTCACCAGCAAGGGCGAGCGCAGGAC